CAAATTATCTCTAATTTCTGAAACAGTCTTGGTTCAAGTACCTGAATCACGGTTTATGACAACAGCCTGGGTAGCTGCCTTAGACTGTAAAAGTAAACTATTTCTATCTAAGCACTGAAAAAAGGTTGAATTTGCTGCATGCTTATGGACACAGAAATAATGTAAACACGTGTTAGTGGTAAGTGGCGAAAATGTGCTGGATATTCATAGCAATTGTGATAAACCTCATGGATATATCTTCAAACTTAAAAAAATAAATATATAAAATTAAAAAAAATAATAATAAATCTGTTTTTCGTTTTGCTTCAAGTTTTGCATACTTTGTTGAAAAGAAGAGATAGGATAACGAAAAAATTTTTTTAATAACTCATAAAGTAGTTTTGTTGTCATTGATTAACTTTTTTTACTAAAAATAAATACCTGTACCGCGTCTTGGTTCATATGAAATAATTATGAAATTACATCACATAAGATTAATCGTAGTAAAAAAAAAACTGTTTTCGAATCCAGGCAAGTGGGAAAACGTAGAATCGACGCCACATTTGACTTGCGTGTGTCGGAGACAATGTTGATATGTGCATTATTGTGGGACTGTGGGAGTATACAAACCTTAAGAACTTAGAGCATATTTATAAATTTCTACTTTAAAAAAAAATATGTTTAGTGTCCCAACATTAAATTAAGCAAATTGATTGTACTTTTACTCTTTTAACAAACATCTTATTTTGTAACTTTCAATGGAATTTAATTATAGAAAATTAATTCCTTTTTGATGTGCCATGCTTAAAATTTATATCTGAAAATTATTTTCCAGTTATTTAAATCCGTGATTCTATTTATAATTTGGAAAATATTTCTGCATAAAAAAGCAGAAAATTGCATTTAGCTTCATTTTGTCCTTTTTGATATCCTCTAAAATAATATATTATTTATTTAATGTCACATTGATTCTCTAAACTTGTTTTCTCAGCACCATCTTGTGGTAAACACGAAGTTTACGATTATTGCGGCTCCGCATGTCCCAAAACTTGTGCTAACTTAGGAAAAGGTCAAGTTTGCTCTTTCCGATGTGTCAAGGGTTGTTTTTGTGAAGAAGGATTAGTTAGAAATGACAAGGGTGAATGTGTACATCCAGAAAAATGTCCAAAACGTAAGACAGTTTTAAAGGTTTAAAATTTAATACATAATTTATTGTAGAATCTAATTTTTATTGCAGTTTTCGAATTAATTAATATGGTGTACTCGAATATTATGAGTGCGTGGGGATGAGGAGCATTCGACCATGTCAACCGTCATCTATGAAAAGGTACCCCGACATAGAGTCGAGTTAACATGTCTTATATACTAGTGAATTGTAGTTGTAATTTTGTAGTGATAGATACGCTACAGTACTCTCCCACTAGAATTATAGCTATGATAGAATTCGATGAATGGATGCCACTAGTTGATTCATTGCTGTTTTGTGCGAAGCCGGGAGAGCTGTATTAAGATCACCGTATTTTTTTGAGTGCTGAATGTGAGAGGTGTATTAACTTCACGGTTGTAGTCGCTCCTGTGTTGCCGTTAGCAGTCGAGTGTATGCAAGCCAACGTTGTGTGTGATCGAGATGAGACTGAGTAGCAACTGCGTGAGGAGGTGGATAATGATGCAGTCACAAGTAGCAAGTCAACTGTTCAATGTGGACCATCCAACGAAGTAGACGTTACTGCCGATGTAGGCGTATCCAGATCAAAGTGGGCGTTTTTGCCAAGGTAGGCGTGTTCACATCACGTCCGAAGGTCACCAATGTGGGGATGAGGAGTATTCGACCATGTCAACCGTCATCTATGAAAAGGTACCCCGACATAGAGTCGAGTTAACATGTCTTATATACTAGTGAATTGTAGTTGTAATTTTGTAGTGATGGATACGCTACAAGTGAAACTTATTTTTATTATAGTTAGTTTCATTATAATCTCGGAAAAAGGTGTAATTCATTTCTTTGCAGGCGGCAAAAAAGAAAAATAATATGTTTGTCAGTTTCAAGGCAAATATCTGTAAGATATTATTAACAAGTGTGATAAGCTTTCTGGAACTAAACTGAAACTTCAGAAAATAAACACATGGAAATATAACATAATAAAAAACGTAACATAATAAAAAACATAACTTAATAAAAAAACTTAACATAATAAGAATCGTAACTTAAAAAAACACATAATCAAATATGAATATATTTGTTTTTTTATTTGAAAATTCTATATATTTTTCACGAAAAACTAAGCTTTCGGAAAATAACTATAAATGTTGAACTAAATATTTAAAAATTTCAAATTGTTTAAAACATCTGCTTAATTTCTAACCATTGAATAGAATGTCGGAAATGTTTTCAACAAACAGCTTAGTTTGTAACTTTTAATGGCTACTAATTTGGAAAATTAATTTATATTTGATTCGCTATGTTTAAATGCTGAATTTCGAAATCCTTTGAATTTTATTTAAATCTGTAAGTGTGTTTAGGCTTAGGAGAATATTTCTGCAAAAAATATATTATTTCTTTTTTTTTGTTATATTATTTCTCTAAACTTGTTTTTTCAGCACCATCTAAGACTTGTGGTAAACACGAAGTTTATACTGAATGCGGTTCTGCATGTCCCAAAACTTGTGCCAACTTAGGAAAAGATCAAGTCTGCACTGCACAGTGTGTCGAAGGTTGTTTCTGTCGAAAAGGATTAGTTAGAAATGAGAAGGGTAAATGTGTACACCCAAAAAAATGTCCAAAACGTAAGACAGTTTTAAACTTTTCAAACTTAATTTTTTTTTTTTTGTAGAATCTTATTTTTATTGTAGTGTGTGAGGTAATTGTCTTTGTGTACTCGAATCTTATGTGTGAATCTTAGTTTTATTGAAGTTAATTTCTATATAATCTCGGAAAAAAGTTAAATTCGCTTTTTTTTTGCTAGTGGCAACGAAGATAAAATAATGTATGTGTCAGTTGTAAGAGGCAAGCATATGTAAAATGTTATTTACAATTATGATAAGCTTTCTGGGTCGAATCTGAAACATTAAAAAATAACACAGAACATATATAACATAATAAAAATCATGATATAATAAAAATTTAATATAATAAAAAACATAACATAATAGAAAAATAATATACTAAAAATCATAACAGAAAAACACATAATCAAATATGACTACGTTGTTTTTATTTTGAAAGTTCTGAATATTTTTAAGGAAAAATAAGCTATCGAAAAGCAATGATAAATGTTGAATTAAATATTTAAAATTTCAAACTGTTTAAAAGATATGTTTCATTTTCGAAAATTGAATGGAATTTCGGATCTTTACTTCTACAATGCTCTTATTTTGCAACGATTTGTGTACACGAAGTGCGAAAAAAAATTTATATTTAATATGCCATGTTTAAATGTAAGATTATAGTTGAAAACATTTTCTATGTTATTTAAATCTGTGATTGTGCTTAGATTTAAAGAAATATTTCTGTATTAATGTTCAGAAAATTGAAACTTAGATTATATTTAGCTTTATTATGTAATTTTTATTAGTTTCTAAGAAATGTAATTTTTCTATTTCTTGATATATTAATTTTCTCATTTTTTTAGCTAAATCAAATACTTGCGGTAAACACGAAGTTTATAATGAATGCGGCTCCGCATGTCCCGAAACTTGTGACAACTTAGGAAAAGATCAAGTCTGCACTAAGCAGTGCGTCAAAGGTTGTTTCTGTCGAAAGGGATTAGTTAGAAATGATAGGGGTGAATGTATATGCCCAAAAAAATGTCCAAAACGTAAGACAATATTGATTTATTTATATATTTTTGAAATTTTTAAATTGATTTATTGTTTACAACACCATTTTTTTTTAAATGGAAGAGTTACTAGAAAAAGACTAACTTAAGCGAGAGAAAAAATTCCATTTCTGGTAGTCATTTTATACTTCAATGATAGATTCAATAATGTCACTTTCGGGTTACTGCAACTTTTGTTTACCTTTTGTTGTTGGTTCTTGATTTG